TTTTTTTTAGTTAATTTGTTTCAAACTTTTTTTATCTAAATTATATAAATAAATAAATTAAAAAACTATACCAATTAATTACCCATATGTTTTAAATGTAAATTAAAATATATAGTTGAAAACTTTATCTAAAAACACATAATTATAAAACATAACCTAATATCATAATTAAAGTGTTTTAATATAAAATACTAGCTAATTACAGCACTATGTCCCTATCTCATACATGTCCATTTCATATATAATAATAGAAGATGTTCTGATATAAAGATCAACTGAGTGAAAACAATGCCAATTATGCTCCCCCATTTGTCCCAGCCCCTACATCTCCTTGCATCCATCCCTGCATCCCTCCCTCCATCCATCCTTGCATCATTCCCTGCATCCCTCCCTGCATTATAAAAAACATTCTCTCCATCCTCTCAACCTTCTCTTGTAATGTCAGTTGATTATCTTGTAATTCTGTTACAGTCTGTTGCAATTGGACCACCCGTTGGGATGACTGAACAGAATTATCAGGTATGGTATGCGACGGACGCTTGCGGTGTGAGACCCCTTGCTCCTCAGGATCCATGTATATAGGTATGCCATAAAGTCGCCCATCTTTTGAAGGTCCACCCGAAACTTGAGACAAGAGCTGGGCGTCAACTGCTGTTGGCCATGTAGTTGTATCCTCTCCATATTTCAGAATGGCCTTTGCATTTAATCTTTCTTGCAATATTCATATAATATACTATATCATTTAATAAAGTTTAACAATATTATATACTCAACTAAATACTTGCAACTATAATATTCAATATATATTTTTTTTTTATCAGCAAAACGAAGATCAATATATTAATTTTGGGAGTACAAGGGGTACTCCAACCCATATACAAAGATAAAATACTATATTGGCATTTTCAGAACAGACCAACCAGCCAAAATTAGCATAGCTGACCTGAACCAGCAACTCATGCATGTCTATATGAAGACCTCATATTAAACGTTGATGCTGCTTTTGGAAACCCTTCAACATCCTCTTATACCGTCTAACAGCCAAGGCACAATCAATTGGATTCATCTGCCACTCATACAAAGAAAAAGCACATCCATGCACCTTATTTTTAACCCAGAAAAAAGACTTCATTTGTATCTTATCTAACAAGCACTCCTGCATACTCCCATAATTCTGAAAAACACAAGCATTCCTCCAATACCAAAGATACCATGCAGCAACAAGAAAAACACATGCACCCAACTCCTTCCCTATAATTCTACCCATATCAACCAAGAAAAATTCTGCCATCCCCCTAACAGTATTTAACATGACAGTTTCAAAGCCCCACCAATTCAACACCTTCACCCAAACTAACCAAGCTTCCCTGCAAGTGCAAAATAAATGATTAACCTCCTCCACCACCTCATGACACAAACCACACAAAGATCCCTCTTGCTGCAACAACACACCCCTTTTTTGTAAATTCCATTTTGTTGGCAACCGATCAAGACATAACCTCCACCCAAAAAAACTGACTTTCAACGGCACTAACCTGCACCAAATAAGCCTGCACAATTGGGAATCAAGATGACGCTCCTCAGGAGACAAAAATTCATATGCTGTCCTAACCGAGTATTTCCCTCCTGGATCATGTACCCAAGTCCAAACATCCTCCCTTCCTTTCTAAAAATGTACACATTCCACGGCTCCCCACAAAACCACCTCCTCATCCTTTTCTCTCCCCATTCTCCCCCTTCTCCATACCATATTCCACTGCCACCTATCCCCATCCCATTTCCCCATATCACTAACCGAGCCTTCCTTATTCGCAGCCAAAGCATACAATCTAGGGCATAAATCCCTTAAGGATTTATCCCCCACCCATTTCTCCCTCCAAAAACCCACCCTACTTCCACACCCCACCTTCCATCTAAACCCATTCCCCAACATATTCCTCAGCCTTACTGATCTCCCCCCAATACTAATAATATCCTTCCACAGCTTCGACACTCTTAAACTATCAAATGCTGTAATATCCACCTCACAGCGACCCTCATAATATTTATCCCTCACTACCCGCTTCCACAAACTCCCCACACCATCACCAAACTGGAACCACCACTTCCCTAATAATGCCCAATTTTTCCTTCGCAAATCCGACACCCCTAAACCTCCCTGCGCCTTATTGCCACAAACAATATCCCATTTAACCCATGGAATTTTCCTATTCAATTCAGCTCCACCCCACAGAAATCCCCTTTGGATTGTAATCAATTCAGAAATCACAGAACTAGGAATTAGAAATAGAGACATGTAAAAAATGGGTAAAGCAGAGAGTACCGAATTGAGCAGAGTGATGCGGCTGCCAAAAGACAACAAGGCAGACTTCCAGACGGCAAGTTTGGCACGAAACTTATTTACCACTGGTTCCCACAATTTTTTGCTTCCAAATTTACCTCCAACAGGCAGACCCAAATACAAAAAAGGTGTTTTCCCAACGCCACACCGTAAAGAACAAGCCATCCCATTCAACCACCTTGTCGATACATTAAAGCCATAAACACTGCTTTTACCAAAATTAATCCGCAACCCCGACATCAACTCAAACCATCGTAATACGGTTTTAACCATAAAAACATTCTCCCCATCGGCTTTACCCACAATCACTGTATCATCGGCAAACTGAAGCAAAGATACAACCAAACCCCTCTTCCCAATATCAACCCCCCTAAACAACCCCTCCGACTCTGATTTTCGAAGTAAACCATGTAAACCCTCACCAACCATCAAAAACAAAAAAGGAGACAATGGGTCACCCTGTCGTAAGCCTTTTCCAATCTCAAACTCCTCAGTCGGACTGCCATTAACCAAGACTGAAACCTTTGCGGTCGATAAGCACTCCATAATCCACCCTCGCCACCTAGACCCAAACTCGAACCTTTCCATCATCCAATCCAAAAATGCCCAATCAACACAATCATATGCTTTCGCAAAATCAGCTTTGAAAACAAAAGCCTTTTGTTTGCTCTTCTTAATTTCATCCACAACTTCATTTAGAGCTAACACACTATCTACCAATTGCCGCCCCTCCAAAAAAGCAGATTGAGTCTCGCTAATTATCTCCGACATCACAGCCTTGAGTCTATTAGCTAACACCTTAGCCAATAACTTATATACACACCCAATTAGACTAATAGGACGATAATCCTTCAATTCTGTAGGGTTATGCTTCTTAGGGATCAGAGTCAAAAAGGAAGAGTTTAAACCTCTTACTAACCTGCCATTTCGATGAAATTCATTGAAGAAGCTCACGAAGTCCTCCTTTATAATGTTCCAGGCAAACTTGAGAAAGTTAAAATTATAGCCATCTGGACCAGGTGCTTTAGACCCTTCACAACATCTTAACCCTTCTTCAATCTCTTCAGTTGAAAATGGTCTTTCCAGCCATTCTTTTTTCTCCTTAGAGATTTGCCGAAAACTAACACCAGCAGGCTTAGGCCTGTTCCATGATTCACCTTGGAACAAAGCAGAGAAATATTTGGCTACCTCCCTCTTTACCAATTTAGGCTCCTCCACCCATCTACCGTCACACGAGAGCCCCAGTATATTATTCTGAGCCCTCCTGCCATTGGCAATCTTGTGAAAAAAACTGGTGTTCGCATCTCCCAACCGCGCCCAATTACATCTCGATTTTTGCCTCCATATAGCTTCCTTTTTGCTCAAAACATCCCATATTTCTTGAACTCCTTCTTGACGTTGGCGCACCTCAAACTCTTCCAGCTCAAAATCTTCATTCCTCTTGTCAATCTTTTCTACCATTGCAGTTGCCTTTACAAATTGAGCCTCCACATCCCCGAACACATCCCTATTCCAACCCTTTAAAAATTCCTTCAGCAACTTTAACTTCTGTTTACAGCGATAGCCTGCATACCCTCCAACCTCTATCTCTCGCCACTTGCCTTCCACTGCATTTTTAAAATCTGGATGCTGCTGCCAAGCATCTAATACTCTAAATGGCTTTGGACCCCAATCTGCATTACTTGTTTTCAAGATAACAGCACAGTGGTCGGATACAGTCCGTTTCAACCCCTGCTGCACCCACTCACACCCCAAACTATACATCTCCTCTGTCATCAAAAATCTATCCAACCGACTCATAGAAGAACCATCCGGTCGGTACCATGTAAATCGTCGATTCGCCAGTCTGATATCAACCAAACCTGATGACTCAATAAATACATTAAACTCCTCCATCTCTGGGCATTCTCCAGTTCTTCCTCTCCTTTCTTCAGGGCATCTAACGGCATTAAAATCGCCTGCTATCATCCAGCAACCTCCCTTTTCCAAAACCATATTACCCAACTCCTCCCATAGCCTCACTTTTTTATACTTATCCTGTGGAGCATACACATTCACGAAATGACATAACACCTTTCCTGATCCCCAAACCCCATCAATACCCAGAAAACCATCTCCAGCAAACTCCCCTAACTTAACAAAATTAACATTATTCCAAACACACAGTAATCCCCCTGAAGCACCGATTGACTCCTTCATAACCCACTCACATTCATCTGAGTACCACAACCCCCTACACATGCTCCCATCCACTTTCTGCATTTTAGTCTCTTGCAAGAACAAAAAATCAGGCCTCTCATTTCTTACTACCCTCCCTACCTCCTTCCTTTTCACAACTATAATATTCAATATAATTATAAATATCATAATTAAATTATTTAAATTTCCACAAGTCATTATAAATTTTAAAAAATTCGACAGAGTTTCCTCTAAATTATGTAATTTCCCCTTGTATACAAAATATATATAAAAATACAATCAACCAGAACAAGATAAACCAAAATAAGAAACTGTCAAAAAAATTACTTAATCTTCATTTGAGACTTAATATAATTATCAATACCATATTATACGTATTTAAATTTCCACAAGTCATTATAAATTTTAAAAAAATTCGACAGAGTTTCTCATAAATTTTGTATTTTTCCCCTGTACACAAAATATATATAAAAATACAATCAACCAAAACAAGATAAACCAAAATAAGAAACTGTCAAAAAAATTATTTAATATTCATTTGAGACTTAATATAATTATCAATACCATATTAAACGTATTTAAATTTCCACAAGTCATTATAAATTTTAAAACAATTCGACAGAGTTTCCTCTAAATTTTGTATTTTCTCCCTGTACACAAAATATATATAAAAATATTTAAATTTCCACAAGTCATTATAAATTTTAAAAAAATTCGACAGTGTTTCCCCTAAATTTTGTATTTTTTCCCTGTACACAAAATATATATAAAAATACAATCAACCAAAATAAGATAAACCAAAATAAGAAACTGTCAAACAAATTACTTAATCTTCATTGGAGATTTAATATAATTATCAATACCATATTATAAGTATTTAAATTTCCACAATTCCTTATAAACTAGAAAGAATACTTATAGTATACTCTTGAGCCTGCTCATCAATATATGTTGGCATTTTATCTTTTTCCTTTGGATTGTGCATTTTTTTGGCATGAATCACATCAACAAATGATGGATCCCTATGTTCTGGATCTTTTTCCTTCTGCAAGATCACATATTTAATTATTGTGTTCATTCACACAAACATTATAATTAACAATAAGATTATTATAATCAATATGGGATGGAATCTAACACTTATATGTAAAATTTTTACCAATTTTCTAGCAAAGTCATCGTAATCCATAGATCCACCCATGTGGGTTACCCTAGGGCCCTTTGCTCGATTTGCCTTGCCTCGCTCTCTACGCGTATTGAATTGAGGGTCCTCCATCCATTTGTACTTTAACTTCTCCCAAACTTCATCATACATGTATAGTTTTTTTCAGTAAAATTGTTCTTTCTGCATGAGGTTTGAATATCAGTCATCATCCGGTTATATCTTTTTTCACAAACTCGTAGAAATGCGGTATGAACAGCATCCTCATGAGTAGGGTCCCACTCATATTTGTTCTGAAAAATGAAAAAATATTGGTATCATATATTCATGTATTAATTGACGCACAGAAAAAATTGCACATATATAAATAGAAACATATTGCAATTTATTCAATAAAACTACAAACCCAAAAATCTTGCCAATACACATCCTTGTGCTCACGCGATATTGAGGCCCAACCTGTATATGCATCTCGCATATTGGACTTAAGAATTACTGAAATATTCTTTCGGACTTGTTTAGGTAATATTTTCCCATTTCAGTTCCCTATGCTCAGCTTCTGGGTTGGATCCTCTGGCATTTTTTGCCCTTTAGCAATACCTCGCCCCTTTTTGGGTTAAGGAGGCGAGGGTGCACTTGAATCAGGGTCACTAGCATTATTAGTTGTCTCCATCGGAGACTCTTGGACAATAGTATTGGAAGATCCAGTTGCTTGTGATTGATTTTTTCTGGTTGGCCTTTGGGTGGCAACGTTAACAGCCTTGTCACCCCTACATGATCCAGGTAAGCAATTCACTGCAACAAAAATATGAAATAATACTATATTAGTATATAAATGAAAAAAATGTATTAGATTTAAGCTTTAAATAAAAATAAATCAAGCATGAAATTTAAAGACAATTTCTAACCACAATAATAATCACCAAATTAATTTCTTTGTTATATCAATCAACAATATATATTAGCCATTGTGTTATAAAATACCACACACATACACTACTCAATAATAAAAAAGTATCTATGTATTACTAATTAATTAATCATTACTATCACTCTCAGAGATATATTCAATATTATCTTCTCAGATGTAGAATAATCTTCAAATTCGTCCTCTTCCTCCTCATCCTCATCCTCATATTCTCTGTCATCATTCATAAACTCAAACTCGACATTAATGGTAGATGCAGTCTCATCAGTATGCTGAGTAGGTTGATACAATATCAAATCGGTTTCAGTCAGCTGGGGAGGTAGAGGGTCATCATCTTGAAAAATGGGTTCTGACTCATCGTGTTGGTCTTCTTGCTCATATGGCATCTCAATAATGCTTCTTGCCCTACATTTCAATGCAGCAAGCCATCCCTTCCTATTAGAATTATGTGATGGATATGGAGTGTAATACACTTGTTTAGCTTGACTAGCCAAGATGAAAGGCTCATAAGTTCTCAGTTTCCGATTTGGATTAATATCAACAAGACGATATTTTCGGTCGACTACAATTCCTCGTGTAGGAGGAATTTCATACCAGTCACATTTAAATAAAACAACCGTCTGTCGATGTCTGGAGCCAACATATTAAAACTCAATCACTTCCTGCAATAACCCATAAAAATCCAAATCTGATTCTGTTCTGGTGGTTCCCGTGATACACACACCGCTATTCATTGTTCTCTTATTTCTTCCATATGAGGCCGTGTGAAATCGAAAACCGTTTACCCAAAAGCCTTTATGGCATGAAACCATCCAAGATGGGCCATGAGCCAAACAAATCAAATGCTCATCAATGCCATCAAACTCATCATGTAAAACCTAAATCACATGAATTATTTTATTAGTTATAAGTACATAATAATTAATTAATAATAACTAAAATAATTGAATAAACTTACCGATTTTTGAAACCATGATACAAGATATTTGGAACGTTTCATTTGTATTTGTTGGGGAGTCATATTTTGACATTCTTCATCTTCAAAAACCCTAATCAAGCATCAAGCATTCATTATAGTTATGTGTAAATTAAAATAGATTATTTTCTTTCTCAAATGTTGTTAAGGATAAAGATTAGGGAAATACACTCACTCAATCCATCCCTTCAGTTCTTCACAATTCATTATAA